AAAATAAATATATATATATATATATATATATATATTATATGTATATATATATATACATATATATATTTATGTAATATAAACATTATATATAATATAAACATATATATAATATAAACATATATATATATATATATTATATTGTATAGATGCAAATATATATATATATATGTATATGATTGTACAGACGAGCAAACAAATATATAAACAAATGTATAAATACTAATATATATGAACAAAGAAGAATATACATATAATTAATATATATATATTATTAAAAATAATAGAGCAAAACAATAAAATAAATTAAATAAATTAAATGAATAAATAAATTAAACAAATTAATTAAATTAATTAAACAAATTAAATAAATTAAACAAATTAAATTAATTAAATTAATTAATTAAATTAATTAAATAAATTATTTTACTTGCAGCAGTTTTTGTTTTGTTTGAGTCCAGCGGGTGACAAGAGAAAAATAAATTTGCTGCTGCAAATCAGCAGAAGACATCAGACCTCGCCTGCTGCAGCAGCAGCAGCAGCAGCAGCAGCAGCAGCAGCAACAGCAACAGCAACACATTTAGGTTTAGAAGAAGCAGCAGCAGCATAAGCAGATTTAAATGCAGTAGCACATTTAGAAGCAACGGCAGCAGCAACAGAATTAGAAGCAGCAGCAGCAGCAACAGAATTAGAAGCAGCAGCAGCAGCAGCAGCAGCAGCAGCAGCAACAGGAGCAGCAGATTTAGAAGATTTTCGAGCAGCAGCAGCAGCAGATTTAGAAGCAGCAACAGCAGCACCAGCAGCAGCAACAGCAACATCAGCACTAGCAGCAACATCAGCAGCACCAAAAACAGCAGCAACCACAGCAGCAACAGCAACAGCAACGACAGCAGCAGCAACGACAGCAGCAGCAGCAGCAACAGACCGTTGAAGTGCATTAGCGGAGATGAATGTACTGATGAGTTGCTGCAGCAGCAAATGCTGTTTAGGGGTTTGAGCTGTATAGGCAGCTGCTGCTTGACAGAGAGACACAGTACTGAGACTTTTCTTCATTAAACAATAAGGAGATAAGGGTAGAGATAAGCTGCTGCTGCTGCTGCTGCTGCTGTTGCTGCCGCTGTTGCTGCTTTCATACTCCGAAGCAGCAGCAGCAAAATCACGCGCAAGCTGCTGCTGCTGCTGACGTTGCTGCTGCTGTTGCTGTTGCTGCTGCCGAAGCTGCTGCTGCAGCTGCCGCAGCTGTTGCTGCTGTTGCTGCTGCTGCTGCTGCTGCTGCCGCTGTTTGCTCGAGTGCAGTGAAGTGAGTATAGAGAAGAGGCGACAGCTAGCAGCAGCAGCACCCGCGCGTTTGCTGCTCTCTTCTTGTTTTATTTGTTTTTCTTGCATTTGCTGCGGTGTACAGACATAATAAAGGCTTGAAGCGTCAGCTGCAGCAGCAGCAGCAGCAGCAGGTGCAGCAGCTCCAAGCTGAAACACAACAGGCCCTTCAGCTTGACCTGCTGCTGCTGCTGCTGCTGCTGCTGGTACTGCAGCTGCTTCAGCTGCTGCTTCCCATTGTGCAATCCCTCCCTCATGCTGCTGCTGCTGCGGTTGCAGTTGTTGCTGCCAGTGCTGCAGCAGCTGCATGTGCTGCTGCTGCAGTTGCTGCTGCAGCTGCTGCTGTTGGAGTTGCTCGAGCAGCAGTTGCTGCTGCTGCTGCTGCTGCTGCTGCTGCATCCAAACTGGGCTGACAGCAATCCAAGGCACAGTTACCCCCATGACCTGCTGCTGCTGCTGCTGCTGCTGCTGCTGCTGCTGTGAGGGGTAGGGATAGAAATGCCCCCAGAGCTGCTGGGGATTTGCAATGGGTCTAGATATGCCTTCTGCTGCTGCTGCTGCAGTTGCTGCCGCAGTTGCTGCTGCTGCTGCTGCTGCTGCTGCTTCTTGTGTTGGTGTTACTTGGGGTGTATATGCAGCAGCAGGCAATTCTTTATCTCTTTCTTTTAATCTTTCAATTACTTCATTTAAAGTTTGCTTCATACGACTCAGCGGTGAAAGACTTGCTGCCGCTTCTCCTTCCTGTTGCTTCTGCTGCTGCTGCTGCTGCTGCTGCTGCTGCTGCAAGTGCTGTTTTGCTGCACTTGAGTGCATCTCTTCTTTTATTTCTGCTTCTTCTTCAAAGCCCTCATAACCCCCAAACCCCTCAAACATTTTTTCGTCGTCTTCGCTATCCTTATTATCATCAAACATTCGCTTTATCTTTCTCTCATTCATTCTTTGAACCCCTTCATAAACATCCCTAGGGGCCCCCATAGAGGGGCCCCTGAGGCCTCTTCTAGGGGCCCTTACAAAGCTTTCAGTAGGGGCCCCCCTAGGGGGCCCCCTAGGGGCCCCCATAGAGTCTTCTGTAGGGGCCCCCATAGGGGGCCCCCTACGGGCCCCCCTAGGGGCTTCCAGAGAGCCTTCTGTAGGGGCTCCCATAGGGGGCCCCCTACGGGCCCTCCTAGGGGCCCCTATAGGGGACCCTAGGGAGCTTTCAATAGGGGCCCCTAGGGAGCTTTCAATAGGGGCCCCCATAGGGGCCCCTATTGAAGAGCCTTCTGTAGGGGCTCCCATAAGGGCCCCCATTGAGCCTTCTGTAGGGGCCCCTATGGAGGCCCCCTTAGGGGCCCCCATAGGGGCTTCTAGGGAGCCATCTATAGGGGCCCCTAGAGGGCTTTGAATAGAGGCTTTTAGGGGGGCCCCCTTGGGGGCCCCCAATGGGGCCCCTGGTTGTTCTTTGGAGGTACCGGATGCCCAGAGGATTCTGCAGGTGTATGATTCGACGCACATTAAAGGTTGAGGAGAATTAATATGTTTATTTTTCATTGATTTGAGGTGTACATACACCCGAGTAGTTGTTGAGGCGGTGTGCAGGTGAAGAGGCTCTTCATAGTGATGAGGCTATGAAATAATAATATTTTAAAATAATAATTCAATAAAAAAGATAATTTACAATAAAAAAACAGAAAAATAAAGAAAGAATTTAGCTACTGATGATGGTGTAACCGGAAGTTGAGTGTAGCTGCGCATACACCTGAAGCAGCGGTTTAAAAAAGGGTAAAAGCAGCGATAAAAGAATAAAAAACAAAGATTTAAAAGAATTAAACAATAAAAGATTAATAATATAAATTATTTTATCAAGTCAAACCCCAAAATGCTTCAGAAAGACCCAGTGAAACACCCACCAGGGAGCGCAACAGATTAGAGGAGGAAGGAGGCATAATTTTTTTATTTCTTGAAATTTTCTGATCTATTTTAAATTAAATTGAATAATAAAAACGAATATTTAAAATTTAAATACAAAAATATACTCCATTTGTTGGTTTCCTTCGCTTTTTATCTACGGTCTGTCAACCGCCTGTCCGGTGGTTTGCGGTGTATGCGCACCTCAAAACACTGAAAATTTTAATGAAATAAAACACAAAATTTCAACATTTTATTATTTTTGCTGTTTATACCAAAAGACAAATCAATAGAAGCTCCCATTTATCCCTTCGTTGCCCTCGTAAACCTTACAGAACGGTTTAGGGTTTAGAACTAGGGTTTAGGGTTTAGATAAAGGGTTTAGGGTTTATATCTAGGGATTAGGGTTTAGATAGAGGGTTTAGGGTTTAGACAAACCATTTAGGGTTTAGGGTTTAGACCGAAGGTTTAGGGTTTATGTACGTGGAGGAGGGTTTGGCGTTCATTTATATTGAGGGTTTAGGGTTTTTATAATAAGGGTTTAGGGTTTTATAATGAGGGTTTAGGGTTTTTATAATAAGGGTTTAGGGTTTTATAATGAGGGTTTAGGGTTTATGTCTTTAGGGTTTTAATTCACCCAAAGTTCAAATTTAATCCGCAAAACCCTAAAACCCTAAACCCTAAACCCTAAACCCTAGGCACTAGCTTCTTGTTGGTTTAAAGAGAAAAGAGTATTCCTAAATAAATAAATAAATAAATAAAATTAAATAAATAAATAAATAAATTAAATAAATAAGACAAACAAAAGTTTGTGTTCATACATCTCTTTCTTCTGCTTCCTCCTGCAGCACAGTTAAAACTACTTTAGGTTTCTTTGCTGCTGCTGCTGCTGCTGCTGCTGATGCATCAGCAGCAGGGGCAGCAGCAGTAGGAGCATCAGCAGCAGGAGGATCAGAAGCAGCAGCAGCATCTGCTGCTGCTGCAGATTCTGCTGCTGCTGTTGCTGCTGGCTCTGCCTGTCTGCTGCTTCGCTGCTCCCGCCGCCTCTTCCTCGCTGTCTGTGCTGCTGCTGCTGCTGCAGGTTTTGCTGCTGCTCCTGCTGCTGCTGCAGGCTCTGCTGCTGCTTCAGGCTCTGCTTCTGCTGCTGCTGCAGCAGCAGCTTTTGGCTTTCTATCTAACGCTGCTGCTGCTGCTTTTTTAAGAAGTGCAACAATTTCCGGGGAGACCCAGTCTAAGACAGTTTCGCCTTGAGTTGTCTGAGCCTCTATATTAGCTCCTGATAGCACAAACCCTAAACCCTAAACCCTAAACCCTAAACCCTGAACCCTCACTAACCCCTGGGCGTGTTGTCCTCTATATTTGAATGCAACCTGCAAACCCTCGCGTTTTAACTCCTGCAGTAAACCCTAAACCCTAAACCCTAAACCCTAAACCCTAAACCCTAAACCCTCCAAAACACCAATGACGTCGGGTCTGCTTCTCTCTCCAAGGGGAACCTGCCTAGGGATTAGGGTTTAGGGTTTAGGGTTTAGGGTTTAGGGTTTACCGAATTCTATTAGAGTTAATGCAGATTCAAACTGCTTTGCTTTGCACGCCAAATGCAGAGCTGTCCTGCCCCCTCGAGAAAGACGCGCATCTACTGATGCCCCTTTAAGAAGAAGCTGCATATACACCCCAAACCCTAAACCCTAAACCCTAAACCCTAAACCCTAATCCCTTCTAGAGAAAGACGCGCATCTACTGATGTCCCTTTAGTAGTAGTAGAAGCTGCATATACACCCTAAACCCTTAACCCTAAACCCTATCGCACAAAGCAGCCACAAACCCTAAACCCTAAACCCTAAACCCTAAACCCTACGAATGCGCCACTCCTTTCTATCTGCGTGCCTGTTCTTCATTAGAGTTTACCTAGTAGACAAACTTTTAGGGCTTAGGGTTTAGGGTTTAGGGTTTAGGGTTTAGGGTTTACGATTTCAAGGACTTGTTGATGCCCCTTTTGAGCAGCAAAATGCAAAGCCGTCATATTATCTTTTGCGGGCCTTCGAATTGCTGCGCCCCTCCTCAGCAGCAGCTTCACCATCTCGCTACACCCTGAACAAACCCTAAACCCTAAACCCTAAACCCTAAACCCTAAACCCTAAGCCTTCGTTTGAGATGCAGGAGTGGAGGGAGGGATAAATAGCACCAGCATAAAAACAGCAAAACCACAGCAGCAGCAGCAAGAACAGCAGCAGCAACAACAACTGCAGCAGCAGCAACAACTGCAGCAGCAGCAACAACTGCAGCAGCAGCAACAACTGCAGCAGTAGCAACAACAACAGCAGCAACAACAGCACCAGATATACCAGCAGCAGCAATACTAGCAGCAGCAAAAACACAAGCAGCAACAGCAGCAGCAACATAAGCAGCAGCAACAGCAGCAGCAGCAGCTGCAGCAGCAACTGCAGCAGGCGAACCGTCGAAGGCGGCGAGATGCAAAGCGGTGCTGCGAGCAGAAAACCCCACAGCTAGGGTTTAGGGTTTAGGGTTTAGAGTTCGGGTATAGGGAGAGGTCTACGCTTCAACCTCTGCTGCATAGTCCTAAACTGCCTAGGGTTTAGGGTTTAGGGTTTTTAGGGTTTAGGGTTTACCGTCTGTGAGTATCAGCAGCATTAACGAGCCATGCGTTTTGCGGCTGCTGCAGTTTTGCTGCTGCAGCAGCAACGTCTCTGCTGCGCACCAATTGATGAAAAGCAGCAACAGCAGCATCAGGATCTTCTTCTGCTTCTTCTGCTGCTGCTGCTGCTGTTGCTGCTGCTGCTGCTGATTCGCCAGCAGCAGCAGAATCAGCAGCAGCTGCTGCTGCCGATTCTGCTGCTGCTGCAGCTGCAGGCTCCGCTGCTGCTGCTGGGTTTGCTGCTGTGGTTTCCGCTGCTACTCCTGCTGCTGCTGCTGCACGATCAGCAGCAGCAGCAGCAGCAGCAGCAGCAGCAGCAGCAGCAGCAGCAGCAGCTGGTGTTTTATTCCCGTGGGGGGGAATCTCACCGCCAGGTGAAGATGCGGTTTGATTGGCAGTCATGAGGGTTTAGGGTTTAGGGTTTAGGGTTCAGGGTTTAGAGTTGAGGCCTTAGGGTTGAGGGTTTGGAGTTTAGAAGTGTGTCTTTAGGGTTTAGGGTTGATGGTTTAGGGTTTAGGGTTTGAATTTCAATATTAGGGTTTAGGGTTTAGAATAAACCCTTTCGAAATGCTAATGCATGTGTTGATGATGCAGTGCTCTACCCAAACCCTAAACCCTAAACCCTAAACCCTAAACCCTAGTCCCTAGCAAACCCCAAGCCCTAGTCCCTTGCAAACCCTAAACCCTAAACCCTAGCAAGCCCTAAACCCGAAAACCTCGCGAAGTCTAAACCCGGAGCCCTGCCAAACCCTAAACCCTAGCAAGCCCTAAACCCTAGCAAACCCTAAACCCTAGCAAACCCTAAACCCTAGCAAACCCTAAACCCTAAACCCTAGAAATAAAGAGAAAGACCTTCGATATAAATTCAACAGTTGTTAGTCTTAGAGTGTTGGGCCCCACAGAGAAGACGTAGATAAATATTTTTAAAGTTTAATAAAGTTAAATGTGTTTATAAATTAATAAATAATTATAAACAAAGTTGTTAAAGAATAAATGCTGCTGCATTCGGGTGTACGTACATCATCTAGTCAGCCCGGCTGTACATTGCAGATAGCTTCCATTATGGGCCCCAAACCCTAAACCCTAAACCCTAAACCCTAAACCCTAAACCCTAATCTCTAAACCCTAAACATTAAACCCTAAAATTTATTTCTAAACCCTAAACGTAAACTCCTAATTTCATTAGGAGTTAATCAGCGTTTTGATTTATGTTGCACTGGTCCCCTTCGTCTGTAAACCCTAAACCCTAAACCCTAATAAACCCTTATAAACCCTTATAAACCCTTATAAACCCTTACAAACCCTTATAAACCCTTCAAAACCCCTAATACACCCCTACAAACCCTAGTATACCCTTATAAACCCTTATAAACCCTTATTAACCCCTCTAAACCCTTATAAACCCTTACACACACTTACACACCCTTACAAACCCTTACAAACCCTTATAAACCCTTCTAACCCTAATCAACCCTTACGAACCCCTATAAACCCTTATAAACCCTCATATACCCTTATAAACCCTAATAGACCCTTCTAAACCCTTCTAAACCCTTCTAAACCCTAATAAACTCTTCAAAACCCTTCAAAACCCTTCTAAACCCTTATAAGCGCTTATAAACCCTAATAAAATGTTTAAGAGTGCAGGGGTGAGTGTCCCTTGTGGTGTATGCTGTAAAGAAGATGAAGAAAAGATTTTATTAGATAGATTTGAAGTGAAGGTGCATTTTAGTATATTGAATTGCTGCATCCGTGAGCTGAGGTGTACGTACACTGGAATTAGGGTTTTTGCTTGCATTGTTGCTTCGCCTATTTGTAATTTAAATATTACTTTTAAAACAGAGACGCACACAAATGAAGGCCTCCCGCATACTCTTGAGCACCTTGTCTTCTTAGGCAGCAAAAACTATCCTTATAAGGTAAACCCTAATAAACCCTAATAAACCCTTGTAAACCCTTATAAACCCTTATAAACCCTTATTAACCATTGTAAACCCTTATAAACCCTTATAAACACTTATAAACACTTGTAAACCCTTATAAACCCTTATAAACCCTAATAAACCCTTATAAACCCTTATAAACCCTTATAAACCCTAATAAACCCTTGTAAACCCTTGTAAACCCTTGGAGACCCTCATAAACCCTTATTAACCCTTATAAACCCTTGTAAACTCTTATAAACCCTTGTAAACCCTACACCCTCGTGTCTCCCGAGGGTTTGGTGTTCATATGGTTTAGGGTTTACGGTTTAGGGTTTAGGGTTTAGGTTGTAGGGTTTACGGTTTAGGGTTTACGGTCTATGGTTTAGGGTTTGTGATGTCTAGGGTTTAGGGTTTCGGGTTCGTGATGTATAGGGTCTAGGGTTTGCGCTGTTTAGGGTTTGTGCTGTTTAGGGTTTGTGCTGTTTAGGGTTTATGATATTTAGGGTTTAAGATATTTAGGGTTTATGATATTTAGGGTTTAGGGTTTAGGGTTTAGGGTTTGTGGTTTGTGGTTTGTGAAGGGTTTTATTGACAAAGCAGCAGCGCGATGTTTGTCGCAAGGCACCAACGCGTGGACGGCGACCGATCATACAAATTATACACTCGAAACAGCAGGTTATGAGGGTCTCTTTACTCTTTTACCCGGTAAAGATAAATAAATAGATATATATAAATATATTTATTTATATTTATTTAATTTTATTTATCTTTATGTTTGATTTGTTTGTTTGTTTGTTTGTTTTGTTTTGTTTTTGTTTATTTGTATGTTTGGGGGTTATGAAGGTCTCTTTACTCTTTTACCCGGTAAATATATATAAATAAATATATATAAATATATTTATTTATTTAATTTTATTTATTTATTTATATTTATATTTATATTTAATTAATTTGTTTGTTTGTTTGTTCTTTGTTTTTTTTTGTTTTTTTGTTTGTTTATTTGTTTGGGGGGTTATGAAGGGCTTTTACTCTTTTACCCGATATATTTATTTATTTATTTATTTATTTATTTATTTATTTATTTATTTATTATTTATTTATTTGTGTTTGTTTGTCTTGTGTGTATATATGTGCCTCATTATTATTAATATTTTGGTGTATATATACACCTAATTATTCTAATAATATTCGGGTGTATATGCAGCTTATTTATTAATAATTAAATGCAAAACATATATTTATATATATATTTATATATATTTATATATATAAATATATATTTATATATATATACCCCTTGTTTAATAAATAAGATTGGGGTGTATATGCAGCTTATTATTTTTATGAATATTGCGGTGTATGTACACCTCAGTTTATTTGGAGCATTTATTTCTTCCTACTTTGAATGACGATTCTTTCTTAACAGAAGTTCATCACTTTAAGGCAGATGGGACCAGTGCAGGTCAGACAAGGGTTTGTTCGAGGGTTTAGGGTTTAGGGTTTAGGGTTTAGAAAGCATTGTGTGAGGGTTTATAAGGGTTGTGGACGGTTTGCGTTAATGAGGGTTAATAAGGGTTTATAAGTTTATATTAGGCTTTATTAGGGTTTATAAGTTTTTATAAAGGTTTAAAAGTTTTTATTAGGGTTTACGAGGGTTTATTAGGGCTTGGGAAGGCTTATAAATGTTTATTATGGTTTATAAGTTTTTATTAGGGTTTCTAAGTGTTTATTAGAGTTTATAAGGGTTTATAAGTTTTTAATAGGGTTTACGAGGGTTTATAAGGGTTTATTAGGGTTTATTAGGGTTTATTAGGGTTTCTAAGGGTTTATATATAAGGGTTGATAAGTTTTTATAAGGGTTTACAAGGGTTGATAAGGCTTTACAAAGGTTTATAAATGCTAATTAGGGTTAATTAGGGTTACTAATAAGGGTTAATGATAAGGGTTGATTAGGGTTTATGAGGGTTTACGCATGCAGGTGTGGTGTACAGTGAGATGGAGTCATGCGAACGTACTTGTTCATCGAATATAAACGAAGCTTTTCTATCTCTTGTTTATAATAAAGACAGCGGATACTGTCAAGAGACAGGAGGAAAGCTGCACTGTCTGAAGGCTACAAATAATAAAAGAGTGGGACAGTATCATCGATACTTTTATAATTTTCAGAATGCTGCTATAACTGTCTCAGGCTTATTTCCTATTGATTTGCTGCTTCAGCATATTGCTTCTGCTCTAGATAAAGTTCAAGCTGCTGCTGCTTCTCCTCCTCCTCCTGCTGCATCATCTGCTCTTAGTTCTGCTGCTGCTGCAGCAGAAATAACAGCAGCAGCATCAGCAGCAGCAGCAGCAGCACATTCTTTAGATCTGTCGACTTTTGATATACCTTTCTCTGCTTACGGCTCACCCTGGTCTTCCCCTATTAACACCGCTCCTCCTAATATCAGCAGCAGCAGCAGCAGCAGCAGCAGCAGCAGCAGCAACAGCAGCAGCAGCAGCAGCAATGTGAAGATTGTTCGATACCCTGCTGATAGTATGGATGGCGGTAATGTATTAGTCGGTTTTAGAGGTCTTCTGTGGGAGCAGTTTAAAGAGAGAGAAGTAATTGAGAAGCTTTGTATATATCTAACAGACTCTAGTCAATCTTTGCTGCAGCAAGCACTTATTGAGACAGCACATCCTCTATGCTCTTCTCTTAAATGCGGTGGTGAGAATTTTAAACGCACCTGCTTCTTTTTTGAAGCAGCAGGCGTTGCTCTACCTCAGCAGCTGCAGCAGCAGCAGCAGCAGCAGCAGCAAGAACTGCAGCAAGAGCAGCAGGAGAGGCAGCAAACGGACGCGAAGAAACAGCAGCAGCAACAGCAGCAGCAGCAGCAGCAGCAGCAGCAGCAGCAGGATGCAGAGGAAGACTTGCTGGAAGCTGCGCAGGAGCAACAGGGTTTAATTGTCGCAAATAAAATAAGAGAAGTAATAGCAGCAGCAGCAGCAGCACCAGATAGCTTCGATCTTAACAGAGTGCAGCAGCTAATTAAGAAAGACCTGCAGCAATTTGCATATGCTTTAGAGCATTCACCTCATTCTACAGGTATATTATATTATTTTATTTATTTATTTATTTATTTATTTGTTTAAATTATGTTTTTAATTGTATATTATTATTATTATTATATTAATAAAATGTATTATACAGATATATTATTTTCTTCGTTTTGTTTGTTTGTTTTATTTAACAAAAAAATATTTTATTTGATTTGTTTATATTTATTTTTTGTTGATTTTATATACTTTATTTGTTTTTGTTGATTTAATTTATTTAATATATTTAATATATTTAATTATTTATTTATTTGTTGTTTATTTGTTTTTGTTTGCTGCAGTATTAGAGTTGATAATTGAGTATTTTTTGTATGGTAGCAGCACGAAAGATTTGCTGCTGCTGTGTGACCAGTGGTCTATAGCAGCAGATTTGCTGCAACTTCCTGCTGCTGCTTGGGTGCAGCAGCTGCAGCAGCACCTTGTTGATGCTCCTGCTGCTATAGTTTGCTGCTGGCCTTCACGTCGGTTGCAGCAGCAGTACGCTGCAGCAGATGCAGCAGCAGCAGCAGCAATCCAACAGCACGTTGGTAGCAGCAAACTGAAGCTGCTGGAGCAGCATGTTGCTGCTGTTAAGCAGCAGCAAAGCCTGCCCTTCCCTGAAGCAGCTCTGTCAAGCATAAACTATGCGAGTGTATCGCATGTGCAGCTTATTAAAACAAATGTAGCAGCAAACTTCTCTCTTGCTGCTGATGCTGATGCTGCTGCTGCTGCTGATAATGATGCTGATGATGATGGTTCTGCTGCTGCCGCAGGCAAAGCAGCAGGAGACACAGCAGCAGCTGCAGCAGCAGCAGCAGCAGCAGCAGCAGCAGCAAGATCGCTCGAAGGCTGCAATGGTTTGCTGCTGATTCTTAATGACATTCCTTCTGAGTTTGTGTCTCTTCATTTAATTATTAGGATTCCTAAGGATTGGACTGAGCAGCAGAAGCAGCAAATGCTGCTGATGCTGCTGCTGCTGAGAGAGAGCGATGTTCAAGTGTCTGCGCAGCAAGCTAAACTTCTCAATATAGATGAAGAGACTATTCAAAAAGGAATTGCTGCTGCTGCTGCTGCTGCAGCAGAAGAAGAGCAACAACAACCAGCAGCAGCACCAACACCGGCTGCAGGGGCAGCAGCAGCAGGAGACTCAGCAGCAGTGCGGCTGCCTCACTCTGTTGTGTCTAAGTTGCTGCTGCAGTATACAACGCATAACAACGTAGGAGTAGGGTTCAGCAGCAGCAGCAGCTGGAATCTACATCTCGGGGGTTTATATAATATTGTGTCTCTTCATTTTACTGCTCCTATTAGCTTTTATAAAGAGGTGCTGCTGCTGCTGCATATATTCATGTATAAGGTTTGTTTCTCAGATGACAGGCTGTCTGTACAGCTCAAAAAACAAAAGAAACAGCTACAAAAATTAAAGCATAAACCCTACTTCTTGCTGCAGCAGCTAGAGATGTCTCTTTGGTTTCGGAGCAGCAGCACATGCCGCATTGCAGGCTGGGGAAGCAGCAGCAACAGCACTGCAGCAGCAACAGCAGCAGTAGCAGCAGCAGCAGCAGCAAAGGAGAATAACGAAAAGTTTGAGCCTGCAGTTAAACCTATTGCTGAGGTGTATAGGCAGCTCTTCAACCATCAACGCATGCTGCTGCATGTTGGTGCTGCAGCAGCAAAGCTGCCACAGACCTGGAAGGAAGATATACAAAGTTGTTTATTTATTGATAAGCAACAGCAGCAGCAGCAGCAGCAGCAGCAGCAGCAGCAGCAGCAGCAGCAGCAAACTCTTAATACCCTCCTGGATATAGGTCTCTCAGCAGAAGACAAGGTAAATGCAGCAAACAGCAGCAGCAGCAGCAGCAGCAGCTGCAGCAAGAACGGCAAGGCCCTTCCTGCTGCTGATGCAGGTGCTGCTCCAGCCACACCAGCAGCAGCAACAGCAACAGCAGCAGCAGCAGCAGCAGCAGCAGCAGATGCACGTGTTGTTGTGGGCTTAAGCAGCAGCACTGCTTCTTATTTAAGAGCAGCTGTTGAGGCTCCAGCTGGATATAACAAAACAAATAAAATTTTCTCGTCTCTTCTCATTGTATGTGAATGCTTTTCAATGATGGAAGGTCGGCCAAACCCTAAACCCTAAACCCTAAACCCTAGAAAACACTAAACCCTAGAAAACACTAAACCCTTGAAAACCCTAAATTCTACGCCCTAAACCCTAAATTCTAAACACTAAACCCTAGAAAACCTTAAACGCTAAACTGTAGAAAACCCTAAACCCTAGAAAGCCCTAAACCCTAAACCCTAGAAAACCCTAAACCCTAGAAAACCCTCATTAAAAAACCCTAAGCGCTAAACCCCTAACTCAAGTATACCCTTTTGTATAAACCCTAAACCCTAAATACTAAACCCTAGGTTTCTAAACTCTTGAAAAACCCTAAACCCTAAACCCTTCTAACCTAGCTCTAGCCCTAAACCCTAGACCGTAGGAACCCTAGTAAAACCCTAAACCCTCATCCAATCTGTCTGAGCAATGCCCCTAAACCCTAAACCCTCATCTTCATAAACCCTGAACCCCCGCAACACAGAACGGAACATATACACGCATTTAGGGTTTAGGGTTTAGGGTTTAGGGTTTAGTGTTTGTTTGCTGGGATTTAGCGATTATGTCGTTGGTTCTTTGCGGTTAGGGTTTGAGGCGTCATGGGCGAATCGTCGCCTAGGGTTTAGGGTTTAGGGTTTAGGGTTTGTGGTTTAGGGTTGTTGTTTCGAGTTGTACGAGGAGGAGGGCTTGCATATGGCTGCGATTTGTCTTATAATGCTGATGCGGGTTTACTAACGCTGAGGATCTCTCCTGCTACAGACCCCGTCGGGGTGAGGGTTTAGGGTTTAGGGTTTGTGAGGGTTTGTGAGGGTTTGTGAGGGTTTAGGGTTTAGTTGTTAGGGTTGGGGGGTGGAGTTTGCAAAGGATTGTAATTCAGAGCTTGAGGTTTGTGACAGTGTAGGTTCGGAGTTGAGGGTTTAGGGTTTAGGGTTTAGGTTTTGTAGGGGTTTGTGATGGTTTAGGGTTTAGGGTTTAGCAATGCGGCACCGATTTCTGCAGTAGTATCAAGTGGTGTTTAGCGCTTAGGGTTTAGAATGTAGAGTTTTGTGTTTGTAGCCCCGGGTTGCTCAGGGTTTAGGGTTTAGGGTTTAGGGTTTAGGGCTTAGGGTTTAGGGTTTAGGGTTTGTATGAAGGCATTGGAGGCGTCTTTAAATGCATTTCGGCCTTTTGCTTCTGGGGAGGCCAAACTAACAGAAGACGAAATTAAAGCTGCAAAATGTTCTCTTATATGCGCACTCGTCGGGTGAGGGTTTAGGGTTTAGGGTTTAGGGTTTAGGGTTTAGGGTTTAGGGTTTGGGGTTTGAGGTTTGGGGTTTTGGGTTTAGGGTTTAGGGTTTAGGGTTTGGGGTTTGCATTTTGTTAGGGGATAGGGGGTGTAGGGGTTTAGAGCATGTGAGGGTTTAGGGGTTGCTAGGGTTTAGAGTTTGTTAGGGTTGTGTATTTGCTAGGGTTTAGGGTTTGTTAGGGTTTGATTTTGTTAGGTTTTGTGAGGGTTTAGGGTTTGTGAGGGTTTATAATGGTTTCGTGTTTATGAGGGTTTGGGGTTAGTAGGGTATGTCTAGTGTGGAGGTTTAGCGTGTGCTCGCTCTAAACCCTAAACCCTAAACCCTAAACCCTTATTTTGTGGTTCAGGAGGGAGGAAACCCCTGTAGATGTATCTTGCGAGACGCTTTTATCTTTATTAAGAGGTTTATCTTTTGATAATAATCGCAGACTGCTTAAAGATATTGAAGAAGTAGAAACAGCAGAAATACAGAGGGTTTGTCAGGTGTATATGAAGCGGCTTGTTGAAGCATTTAACCCACAAACCCTAAACCCTAAACCCTCGCAAACGCGCAGCACACTCTGCGTTGTCACCAACAAAAGCAAAGTAAGCAAACCCTAAACCCTCACAAACCCTAAACCCGAGCAAACCCTAAACCCGAGCAAACCCTAAACCCGAACAAACCCTAAACCCTCACAAACCCTAAAACGCGAACAAACCCTAAATCCTAATACACTTTAAACCCTAATAAACCCTAAACCTCTTTCATCCCTCCCCCCCTTAAACGCCCTGAACTCTCCTAAACCCTCATTGTAAACCCTAAACCCTCATCGTAAACCCTAAACCCTCCTAAACCCTCATTGTAAACCCTAAACCCTCATCGTAAACCCTAAACCATCCTAAACCCTCATTGTAAACCCTAAACAGTGCTAATCCTTCTTTGTGAAGTCTGATGGTTCAAAGCCTTGCTAAACCCTCATATACCCCCTTCTTTACTTCTAAACCCTATTTTTTTGTCTGCATGTTTGTTTGCTGCAGGCTGCTGCTGTTGCTGAGGGTTTGAAAGGCATGGGGATTTGCTGCAGCGTTTTAAACGCTCAGGAACTGTATCATTTTCTTCAGAGTGAAGAAAACATCCCCCTCCCAGCTAGCCAGCTAGCTAGCCAGCTAGCTAGCCAGCTAAGTAGCGAGCGAGACAGCGAAGAAGATGAAGAGAGTGATGATGATGAAGACAGCGGCAGTGAAGACACTGAAGAGGAAGCTGACAGCCAAGACGACGACAGCCCCACGGACGAGGATTGAACGACTAGCTAGCTAGCTAGCTGTCATAACTAGCTAGCTAGCTAGCTGGGTAGCTAGCCAGGCTACTAGCCATGCTTCTTATTCACGGTCTACATTCTGCACGCCCAGCTATCGAATTTCTAGGCAGTTCGATAGCTAGCTAGCGAGCTGTTGTAGCTAGCTAGCTAGCTAGCTGGTGCAATCCAGATAGCTAGCTAGCTAGCTAGCCATGGCAACAACAGATGCCTCTGGTGTTCAGCGCAGCGCCGCAAAACGCCAGCTAGCCATTTCCTTTAACAGCTAGCTAAATAGCTAGCTGAGCGGCTAGCTAGGCAACTAGCCAAACAGCTAGCTAAACAGCTAGCTAGGCGTATATGCCTACCTAGGGTAGCTAGCCAGCCAGATAGCTGGGCTCCTAGTTATCTATCTGGGTAGCTAGCCATCTGGCTAGATAGCTATCTACCTAGCTAGCTAGCTATCTATCTACATATCTGGCTAGTTAGCTAGCTAGCCAGCCAGCTATACGGCTAGCTAGTTATCTATCTAGCTACCTATCTGGCTAGCTGGCTACGGCAGCTGCTAATGCAAACGCATGGTTGCCAGATCAGCACACAAGCAAGTAAGCTAGCTAGCTAGCTAGCTAGCTAGCTAGCTAGCTAGCTAACTAGCTAGCTGAAGTTGAGGTGGGGAGGAGAAATAGAGGTTTGCTGTTGCAGCAACAGCAGCCGCCATCTCCACACGCACAAAATCGGCAGCTTCTGTTGCTGCTGTGCGTTTTGCTGCTGCTGCTGCAGCTGCTGCTGCAGCAAAACGCCCTAATGGCAGCTGCAGCAGCTGCTGCTGCTGTAGCCGGTGCTGCTGCTGCTGCTCCTGCTGCTGCTGGAGCGCCTGCTGCAGCAGCAAAAGACGCACAATGTTCCCTTTGCTGCTTTTGTAAATGCGGGTTTTGGATTTGTTATCTGTGTGCAAATTAGGGTTTAGGGTTTAGGGTTTATGATGAGGTTTTAGGGTATATAGGCTTTCTAATGACGGTTTAGTATTTAGGGTTTAGGGTTTATGATGAGGGTTTAGGGTATATAGGATTTAAAACGACGGTTTAGGGTTTAGGGTTTATCATGAGGGTTTAGGGCTTAGGGTTTTAATGATGAGGGTTTAGGGTTTTAACGATGAGGGTTTAGGATTTAGGGCTTATGATGAGGGTTTAGGGTTTAGGGTTTTAACGATGAGGGTTTAGGGTTTAGGGTTTATGATAAGGGTTTAGGGTTTAGGGTTTATGATGAGGGTTTAGGGTTTAGGGCTTAGGGTTTACTGTTTATCAATTGTCTCCAGGCCCTGCGGGTCCCGTCATATAAAAAGAAACAGAAAAAAATTTTTTTTTATTTTGTTTAAACTCGTAGGGGGTCTCTCGGCTGCTGCATTTTGAGGTGTATGTACACCCCAATGAAAAGAGACAGAGCAGCAAACGCATTTAAACGAAACAATTAAAAAGAATTTAATATAAACAAACTTTAATATATTTATATTAAACATATATATATATATATATTTATATATTTATACATACAGAGAGAGAGCAAAAAAAATTAATAAAAAGCAAGAAATGCATATACACCCTAGAAGAGACAGAAGGAAATGCAAGGAGAGAGACGAACAAATAATAAAATAAACAAAATAAAACAAAAAGATAAAAGGAGACAGAGGGGACAGCAAATAATTAAAATTTTATTTTAAATAGATAAAAGAAGAGACAGAAAGAAACAGACGGAGACAGAGACCAAACAAACAAAACAAATAAATAAAACAAATAAATCAACAAATAGATAAATAAATAAATAAATAAATGAAGAGAAAACAAATAAATAAATGAATAGAGAAATAGCAAGCAAACAAACAAACAAACAAACAAACAAACAAACAAATAAATAAACATACAGTAATAATAACAATAATAAACCCTAAACCCAAATAATAAACAAACGAATAAATAAACAAATAATAAATAAATAAATAAATAAATGAGAGACGCACCGTAACAACACCAAAGTGTCTCCTGAGGGTTTTATTTTCTTTATTGCTTCTTCATTTGAATCAACAGCAACACAATTAGGGTTTTGCTGCTGCTGCTGCTGCTTCCGTCTTCGATACACCCAAAGCTCTCCTCCATCCTCCTCCTGTGCAGCACAGCTACCCATACAACGTAGCTAGCTATACAGTACAGCTAGCTAGCTATACAGCTAGCCATACAATACAAATAGCTAGCTATACAGCTGGCTAGCTATGCAGAGCGGTACACAGCGCAGCTAGCTATACACAGCTAGCTAGCTAAACGCAAACCCAACTAGTTATATAGTACACCGCAGCTAGCTACAATACACCCAGCTAGCCACTATACACCCCAGCTAGCTATTATACACCTCAGCTAGCTATTATACACACCAGCTAGCTATTGTACACCCCAGCTAGCTACCATACACCTCAGCTAGCTAGCAATCAGCTTGGCTAGCTAGCAAGCAGCTTGGCTAGCTACCATACACCTCAGCTAGCTAGCAATCAGCTCAGCTAGAAGCAGCTTGGCTAGCTAGCAATCAGCTCAGCTAGAAGCAGCTTGGATAGCTAGGAATGAGCTTGGCTAGCTAGGAATCAGCTTGGCTAGCTAGGAATGAGCTTGGCTAGCTACCATACACCTCAGCTAGCTATCAATCAGCTCAGCTAGAAGCAGCTTGGCTAGCTAGGAATGAGCTTGGCTAGCTAGCAAGCAGCTTGGCTAGCTACCATACACCTCAGCTAGCTACCAATCAGGTTGGTTAGCTAGGAATGAGCTTGGCTAGCTAGGAATGAGCTTGGCTAGCTAGGAATGAGCTTGGCTAGCTAGCTACAGGGAGAGGGCTGACCTGCCACTTGGGGTCGTTAGGAAAATAAATTGCAGTAATTTTTCGTCCGTTGTTTATATCCGCAGCAAAACCTCCGTCGAGATGAATTTTAATAAATGCATTTGAAGGGCAGACAGACAACTGCACCGACCATCCAATCTGAACAACCAAACCGCAATTAGGGTTTAGGGTTTAGGGTTTAGGGTTTAGGGGTAAGGGTTAGGGGCTACAAATTAAGGTTTAGGGTTTACCGTTTAGGGAATAGGGTTTAGGGTTTAGGGGGTAAGGGGTAGGGGTTACGGTTTAGGGTTTAGGGTTTAGGGTTTAGGCCACATTATGAATGCATAGCGTGCAGACGCGCATGCAGCACGGAAACTAAACAAAAATTAATTAAAATTAATTAATTAATTAATTAATAGCAAAGAAACAAGCAGCAAGCTATAAATAAATAAAACAGAGGGCTGAACAGCAAATAAAAAAATAATTAAATAAACAAACCAACAAATCTATTAACGAAAAACGGTGCTTCTTTCCATGAGACAAACCCTAAACCCTAAACCCTAAACCCTAAACCCTAAACCCTAAGCCCTACCTGTAGGCAAAGATTTGCTTTCTTGTTCAGCTCGAATGGTAGAGCCAACAGACATTTTAGCAGATGGCGCAAACCCTAGAAAAGAAAACAAAGAATTAGGGTTTACAATTAGGGTTTAGGGTTTAGGGTTTAGGGTTAGGGTTTTAGGAATAGGGTTTATCAGGCAACAAACAGCAACAGCCCAAGCAGAAGCAAAATGAACCCATGCAGCATCATCAGCAGCAGCAGCAGCAGTAACATCAGCAGCAGCAGCAGCAGTAACATCAGCAGCAGCAGCAGCAAGTGCAGCAGCAGCAACAGCAGCAACTGGAGCAACAGCAGCAACTGGAGCAACAGCAGCAGCAACATCAGCAGCAGCAGCAGCAGCAGCTGGAGCAGCAGCAGCAGCAGCAGCTGGAGCAGCAGCAGCAGTAGCATCATCATCATCAGCAGCAGCAGCAGCAGCAACAGCAGCAGCAGCAACAGCAGCATACCCTTTGGTTTTCTCTATCAAGACTTGAGGGGGATGTCCAGCAGATAAAATCTTTTCGTATGCCGTACATACTTTGCTGAAACTGCACGAAAGAAATGCAGCATTTTTATGTTTATATATATAATATATGATATATATATTATATTATATAATATATATTATATTTTATTTAGTATTTGTTTATTTAATTGTTCTGTCTTATTCGATTGAGTGTGGTTGATTGTATTATCTGTTTAAATTTTATTTATTTATATCTATTAATTAATAATTTATTTTATTTATTTATTTATTTATTTATTCAATTTAAGTATTTATTTAAAGATTAAATTTATTTATTTATTAACTTATTTAATTATACATTTAATTGTTTGATTAATCAATTATTTATTAATTTATTTATTTACTTATTTAACTTATTAATTAATTTATTTATGTATTCAATTTATTTATTGAATTGAATTTATTTATGTATTT